ACTACATTTTTATAAAAAGCAATAGGTATTTTTATTATTATTATTTTATTTTTTTAACTTATGAGATATTTGACTGTATTTCTGTGTTGAATTCGGATACAAAATATCCATAGTTTTACCATAGCACAAGAAAACGCATTTTGCATTTTATTGTAGTTACTGCCTTTCTCCATAGTAGGGCAGTATAAGAGACTCCTGTAGCTAAAAAGCATAGAGTAATAGCTAAGCGATATTGAACAGGTATTGCCTTTCAAAGTGGTGTTGCTATTTCAGGACTTTTTTTTAAATGAATGTGATCCAAATCCCTGACTAGTCCCAAAAGACGCAAAAAGAGACGTCTTGACCACTCTTTTCTTTTTTTCTTGTCCTATTGCTTATTACATACGAAACCAATAGAAATGTAAAACTTCTACTACCTACTTCTACTTCTACTTCTTCTAATAGAAAAAATTAAAGGATACAAAAAATTCCAATTTTTTTGCGATGATTCGGATAGCTGTTCGTTAAAAATGGTCGTATTGGGGCAATTTGAAGCTTTAAGTTTCTAGTTTTGAGATTTTTAGATGAAAAACGTGCAACGCTCAATCCTAACGAACACAGTAATAAAAAAAATCGAAATTTGTTGTCCACGGAATGTTCTGACCACCAATGAATAAATGTTCTACAAGAATTTGGTATTGTTTTTTGGGAAAAAAAATTCCATAGGTACTCTACATGAATTTGGTAGCTTTTTGAAAAATCAAGCGCTGAATCAAAAATATTATAGGTAGTTACTTTTTAGGAACAAATCAAAACAAGCGCGGCCCTTATTGGTCAATTCGGTGGTGGTGGCGCGTGCATAGCGTGTTTGATATTTTTACGAGTTATTTGCCAAGCCAATCACGATTTTTATTTGAATGCCTCACATGATCTTGTTAAAATTGTACTTATAAGTATACTTTCAAAAAAAATTTTAATCATAAAAACATAAAGGCTGCATCCCTACTCACTATTTGATTAAGACCTTTTAAAGCAAAACAATAACCTGATAACCGTTCATAAACAAGTTAAGTGTTATGCAAAAAATGCATTATATAATTTTTTTCCTGGAGCTTATTTACTTCTAGATATGACGCTATATTTTCCAAATTAAGTTGTAGTTCTTTTTTATAATAATGCTTAGGTATACCTAATACAAAATCATAACCAACTAAATTTTTCATTATCTTTTAGTGTTCAAAAATTAATAATCAAAAACTGTTTTTTTTTTAATTTTTAACACCCTGAACATGAAAACGAAAACAAAAACTTTTGAGTAATTGCTTTAATAACAAAGCCAATTATTTTCTGCAGGATATCAAATTTCTTGACATTGTTTCGGGGAACTAATTCGTTTAGATGCTGCTGTTCTGCGCCAAACAGCTATGCCATTATAGCCGATCAATCGCATTGCCCTCTTTTTATTGTACACTGTGGGGAAAACCCTGTTATTTGAATTTAACATAGGTACTTCTTCACTGTTCACACTTTTATGAGGTGGTTAAATTTTAGAATATATAAAATAATATTATAATATATATAAGAGACCTTTAACTTAATGGCTTACATGATGCTTAAAAATTTTAATTATGCTTTAAAATGATAATAAAGCTTTTCAGTAGGGCGACTATAATGATTATAATAAGAACTATAATAATTTTAATGGATTTTGTCAAAAAGTAAAGCTCTAAAGATTATTGTTCTCTACGGTGCGACAAAATGAACTTTTCGAAATTAATGTTTATGCAATTTGATACCTTATAATTAATAACGTCGATAAAAATAAAAAATTCAAATTTAAGAGAAACGTAATTTGTTAAGGGATAATATTCATTTTACAAAACCGTTTCTGTCCGAATGAGGATTTATTGAATCACCATGAATAAATTAAATCGTGTGTCGAATAAATACAATGTTTCTCTCGCTCTGTTATTAATTTGTTGACTTTCTTTTATCCATCTTTGACAAGGCGCTTCCTGGAATTCTGCATCAGAACATTATTATTTAATTGCGAAATAAATTTTCAGCTGCAAAACTTTATTCCCCTAATGAGCTTATCAGTTTTTGCCAAAAACTTTTTGGTCTAACAAGTAACAAGATTTTAAATTGAATCTCCGACATTTACAAACAATTCCATTTCTTTGCATTTGAATATTTAATTTTTGTGCTTTCTCCACAGATATTAAAACTACGCTTCTTTTTACAAAATATAAATTCTAATTCCCAGAAACTAATGAAGATTTATAGCCACATAAAGTTTGCCACTTAAGATATGAAATTCTCCAATAGCGATTCAAACACATTAATGGTTTTAAAGTGTAATTAAAAATTGCCGAAAAGTTAAAATGACGACTGGCTAAAATTAAGACAATGTAAAATAAAAATTAAATAACGACAATACAAAAAGCTTTATAGCTTGTGATCTTATTATTAGCATGTAATAATATATTATAATATATAAGATAACATGTAACAAATCATAATATTAGTATTAATTAAAAAAATCTGATTATCATTTCATTATTCTAAGGAAAAATTGGAAGGGATTAATTCTTAAAGACCATTGGTCAAAATTATGGTAACTCCCCCGCAAAGGTTATAGAAAATTAACTGGTTCAAAGGTCTTAAAATCTAATACCAACCTAAAAGGGCGAAGGGTTATTGGCTTTAAGCTAAGCAGTCAAATAGTTCTTAAGGAAGAAGGCGTTACCCTTGACTTAACTCGAAAACTTGTCTATTTGAAAGGCCTGGAACAAACTTAGCGGGGATTTTACTAGGCATTGGGCGGAGTTTTTTGCCATTAATTCCAACTTCAAGATATAATATAATTCACGAAATTCGATAATTATTAATAGCCCCACAAACATGTTTTAAACGTAACAAGGGTTGCCTAATGATTGGATCCACTATTTTTCTATATGGTTCTTAAACCGAATTAATTGCGTTTACTTCATTTAAACCATGTTTTATCAATCTAAAATTTTCAAAATTACTTATTTCGCACATGTTAAAGATTTCTAAACCTTTCTACGAACTTCTAACTGCAGCTCTTTCCAAGAATTATTTTAACCGTCTTTTTTCAACTTACATAAGGAAGATGTTTTTTCTCTGTCTATTGGTCTGTCCCACGTAGCTTCCGTCAGAATTCTTACAAGAAATTTCGTAAACCCCTTGTGCCTCCAACTCTATTTTTGGTTTGGCGTTTGGAAGTATTTTACCGATCTTTCTTAGGGCGTCAAATGTGGTCTCAATGTTATGTTTTTGAGAACTTTGCCTATTCTTTCTGTTGCCCCTTCGACGTACGGAAGAAAGGCCTTCGAAGTTGGTTTGTTATTCTCGTCCTCTGTGGTATTTAACCGGCGTCGTGGTCTAAGAGCCTTTTTTATGATGATTTTGGAGAATCCGTTTTTCTGTAGTGTCCTAATAACTGACTGCAGTTGTGACGGGTGGTGGTGAGACTGGGCGTTGAGGTAGCGGTCCGTGTGTGTTGGTTTTCTGTAAACCGTGTGCCCTAGTTTGCCATTATTTTTCTTGATTATGGGTATATCCAGAAAAGGTAATTGGTGTTCTTTTTCGGTTTCATTTTGAACTTTTTGTGAATTCCGTTGAGATGGTCCAGGAATTTCTTCAGATCCGCTTCTCCGTGGGTCCAGATGATAAATAAACCGAACCACTGTTTAAGCGAAATTTTTCCTGTTTTTAAAACGCTCTCAAAATATTATTTTATGAATCAAGTTTGATAATAGTATATTAAAGAACTAATGTCATAAGGCGTCATTTTGTCGCATGCGGACAATTTATAAAACGAGCGACGAAGGATGCTATTTTATCTATTTTGGAAAAATTCTAAAAAACATTAATTTTATACCTTTTAAAAATTTAATTTGGTCGAATTTTACTTTAGATAGTTGGTATCGCAGTCATTGGATTGACAGTTAATGTCAAAATCGTTTCGCCATGCCGTCCTTAATTTACTTATTTACAATAAGCGGCTGTTAATGTTAAAGAAGAAAAAAGGATTTTCTTTGGTGTTAAACAAAATATATTGCCAGAAAAGTCTTGTAAGTACTAGAAAAATCATAAAAATATTATAACCAATATGCAAAATATTATGCTGTTTAAAGTATAACCAACCTATAAAATCAAAATTTTGGGTGGGATAAAGTATCTTATTACAGCACCTAAAGCAGTGTTATAATGAAGTCATTATGAACGCAAAATAGTCTCTTTAGTCTCCACCCTAAATTAAGTTAAATCTAGTTTACTGCCGGCGAAATTAACTGGTCAGTACAATGTTCTTATAAACTATTCAAATATTGGCGTTGAGATTGTATAACATTTGACAACTTTCAACTAACTTCAGCCCTTGACTAAAGTGCCATAAAGCCACAACTTGTCAAAGTGTATTTTAAAGGTGACTTTGTGTCATGGAAACATGTACGATAATGGGCGTAGAGGTGAGAGTAGAAAATACATTTTTTAAAGTAGAGGGCTCGTTAACGGTTCATATTTTTGTCTAGGTACTTCTATTTCTAAATCAAAAAATTTAGGATTGTTTTATTATAGAATGCCCTAAAAATTTAAATTTTGAGTTTATAGAAAAAAGCTGAAAACAGCCATTTTTCAAAAACCGATTGGATTTGTTTGGTCATATATTTAAGGAATGGGGACAATTAATTAAAATTGGGGTTGATATCTACAGTTTAATTTTCTCTGCTAACCTTACATTTTCAAGAAAAAAATAGATTTTTGTTCTAAACTTAAATCCGGCTGGACCTATTAACTCAAATATAGATTTGAAGTAGATGCTTTACTTTATAAACTGTATTTCTGAGCTCATCGCAATTTTAGTTTGTTGTAAGCCTATATTTTATCTAGGGTTGTAATTATAGCTTGTCAATATTTTTCTTTGTCATTTATTGACGTCAAAATTATACAGGGACCCGACTGTTATATAAATAGCAGTCAAAGTCAAAATGAGTCCGGTTTCCAAAAATGCCAACTAATACCGATGAGGCAAAACTGCACAGCGTCACTTCGTTCAGCAACAACAGCAGTAAAATAGTATCGGTGGGTTCAACAGTGTGCCGGATATGTCACACTAATACTGCCAATGAGTGTCTTATATCGCCCTGCAATTGTAAAGGATCTCTTGCGTATGTGCACTTGTCCTGCTTGGAGAGATGGTTAAACCAATCTAGTCGAAGCTATTGCGAATTGTGTATGTTCCATTACAATGCTGTAGAAACGAAACGATATTCATTTTGTGAAGGTTTGAGACTTTGGGCAAAACATCCCAGAAATAGAGCTCATGTTAAATCAGATCTACTTATTGCTGGCCTTTTAAGTCTAGTTACTTTCGGACTTGTTGGTGTATGCTTCATGGGTATGGAATATTTCGTAATAGAAGGAAACAAAATCGGAATACAAAAAAAGTGGACTAAAAGCACTATATGTTTGTTTTTAGTCATGATTGTTTTGGGGTACCTTGTAACGATTTATTTAATACTGCGTGATCAAATAGTTCCTTGGTACACCTGGTGGTCGCATACAGTGAACGTAAAATTATTATTGTCGCCGTCAGTACAGGTCTTAAGAACGGCCCGATCAATAAACCAGATTTAGTTTATGTTTTATGTATACCTACAGTAGAATAAATTTTATATATACCCATGATATTCTTTGTTTAGAAATAACTAAAGTAAACTAGACAATACAGCTGAACAGATTAAATGAAAATCGATTGATTGTTTTTTAAATAGAAATTTGTTTAAAAAATTATTTGTAAATTTCCAACTAACTGATTTTAAAATTATTTTTTATTTTAAAACAATACACTAACATATATACAGTGTGACCCATTTGTTTGCGACTCACCCCTGTAAAATCTTTATTTATTGTGCGATTTTAAACGGATTTGTTTTAAAATGTAAATCTTGATAAACTGTATTTTTGGAGCAAAAAACGCCTTATTTGTACAAAATTGTGATAAGAATTCATATTAGCGATTTTTTTTAAACAAAATCCAAGCACGGCACTGGATTCACCACCCCTCAAAACGACCCTTTACTAAATTTTATTTAAAAATTTTAAGAAAAAAATGCAGATAATAACTACAAAAATTTATTATGTCAAGTCATGAAAAAAACATTGAAATAAAATTAACATGGTACTATTACTATAAGTTTAATTTTATTTCAATGTTTTTTTAATGGATGGTATAAATTTTTCTACTTAAAATGTTTCAATAAAATTAAGTAAAGGGTCGTTTTGAGGGGTGGTGAATCCAGTTTGTGCTTAGATTTTGTTTAAAAAAATCGCTAATATGAATTCTTAAAAATGTACCCTTAAAAACTAGTAGGCCTTGTATTTTGTAAAAATATAGCGTTTTTGCTCCAAAAATACAGTTTATTAAGATCTACACTTTAAAATAAATCCGGTTAAAATTGCATAATAAGATTTTACAGGGGTGAGTCGCATACAAATGGGTCACACTATATTGTAACACAAGAACATGAATTAAAAAAATCGTAACGTTACGTAACGCTTTTTGCTTTTGACAGTGGTAGTGACAGTTCTATATGCAGTGTTATTTAAAATCTACAAAATATTAAAAAAGGTATGGAAACAAAAAATAAACTATGTTAAATGCAGCGAAAATCTAAAGAGAAAAGCAGAAAACAAAAAAAGGAAATCATAGAAGGTAAAAGAATATTCTTGTAATAAGGGGTTGTTTTCAAAAAACACCCGCCTTCCGCTGTCCGTAAGTTTGAATTCCAATAACTTTGTTAAAAATTATCGGATCTTATTGATTTAAAAACGAAGTGAAAGCCCTTAGTAAACTCTTTCAAAAATTGTTTGTTTAGTTATTTCATAATATTTTTTTTAATTTTGAAACTTGTGAAACACACATTTTCGCATGTCCCATTAGCGTTTTATAAAACTTACATACATGTTTTTTTTAATATTGAATAACCAGAACTTTGTGTTGCTTTATAGCAATCCATAACATCCTTAGTTAATATAGTAAACAATTTATATATAAATTAATTAATTTAAATATACTTTTTTTAAATTTGACTCATATCCCAGACATTCTTTCCGTTGCGTTACGTCCGTCGCGTTACCGATAGAATATTTAAAAAAAACATATATATATATATATATATATATATATATGCCATATATGGCAACTTTTGGCACTCACGTGATCAACAAATGATGTTCGGACGTACACATTACCCAGCTGAATTTATTTATTTAATCAGGAAAAAGATATCGGTTGAAACAGGTGCGGGTAACGCAAATGTAATAATTGTTTGTCCGCTAAGTTACTCAAAAAAATAATAAAAATAAGGTAAGAAAAAATACTATTTTTCATGTTTATGTTTATTTTAGGGCACTAAAGCTCATTGAGAGTAATTAATGACTGTAATGTCTTATTATTATTTTTTTAATATGGTTTCACAAAACTTTTTCCACTGCGTTACCGAGTCCATTATGTTACCTTATGGTAACGCAATGGAATTTAGGGTAACGCAATAGAATTTTTCGACAACAAAGTGGATATTTACCGTAGCTTTTATTGAAAGTAGTTTATGATAAACCAATTTAAAATTATTTGTGATTACAACTCATGATATAGATTACATCCAAGGGAAAATTCCACGCAATATACAAGTACCAAAAGACACCAGCTTATAGTCAAAGAAAAAGGGTGTCTATAATTTAAAAATCTAAGTTGTTATTCTGCAAGTGAGCACCACTACAAGGGATTTTGTTTATGCATTACTCTAAAATCGTACCACCCTATATAGTTTCTGATTAAGGGCCGGTTTATCAATGTCCAGTTAAAGTTGCAGTTAGGTATCTGGTAGATAATTTCTATGGATACCATTGTTCTCACAACAATCGATATGAAATTTAACTGTCAGATATTTTGTTAAAAAAAAATCCTTAAAATGATTTTACTATCACTTGGTAATACCTGTTTATAAATTAGAGTGACTAAAAGAAAATATTAATGGTATTGTTTTTTTAACCCTTAACTAGTCGCGCAGGTGCACTGAGTGCTCCGTTTTTATTAAAACCTCTATAACTTTTTGTCGCTTTCTTGGAATTAAATGCCCTTTCCATGTGTCTACCATGCACTGTCGACGGCATATTCAGTTTAAACTACTAATTTCAAAGTTATGGATAGAAAACTTGAGATTGATTTAGAAATACTTCACTAAAACTTAACTAAATTTCAATTTTTGTAATGTAAAATATTTCTAAATCAACAAAATATGGAATTTAAAACCTAATGGTTTTTAAGGTATACATTTTTCTAAGAATACACAAATAAAAATAGAACGGCTAAATTTCATTCTGATTTATTCTTTTCTGAGTAGAAGTAATAACTTTTTTGTTTGTTTTATTTTTTGTTATTTGCTTTTTGTTTCTTTTTAAAATAAATATTGTGTTTTAATAAAAATAGAGTTAATTCATCCGAATATAAGCAAAAGTAATATTAAAATTGAAAACATTCAGCAATATAGCCATTTTAAGGAGCGGAGCACACAAATAGTGCACCGCGCGACCACTTATGTTACAAAAATTGGCGCGAGTAGTTAAGGGTTAACAAAGAATCGGAATGGTGTGTTTTAAAAAGTAACTTAACTAACATAAATATTTAAAAAAGGCATACAATTTTTAATAAAAAAAAATTGGAGTCAAAAGTTTGTGAACTAAGTACATTTTATTTCAAATTATTTTTATAACAACTTTTTTTCTTGAATTAAATTTTGGATTTCAAATTGGTAACACACTGGAGACATATAAAGCTAGCTAAACACATTTTTCTGAAAAAAACATAAAAAAATTAAAAAGTGCACTGCCTGTCTTAAATGTAAGTAAACAAAACTCTAAACATTTATAAAAATCCAACCAAAAGTCAATTTAAGCAAAAAAAAAATGTGATCTTCATTTTCCTGAAAGCGGGTGTTTCTTGAAAATGACTCTTATAATAAAATAGTAACGATCCTTGAGGTAGCAATTCTACTACGATTTTTTACCGTATCGATTCTTTAGGATACGATCCGGATCGATATATCGTATCAGCTGCAAAATTAAAATCAGTAAAACGTCACTGATTCTCAGAGAGTAAAGGCTAAAAGCTAGCCAGTGGAACAACGCTGTTAAATAAGTGGTCAAGTTGGGCACTGACACAAACTGCTGAACTTATGCATAAACTAGTGAATTGTATTTATTTCATTGAATAATTGAATTAAAATACAATTGAATAAATAATCAAAATAACATGTTTCAATTGTAAAGGAAAGATTGAATTATAGAATGTAATTATAATTATATATTTTTATATTAAATCATAGTAAAACTGGTGTTTTTTTAATATTATACTAGTACTATTTGTTCTTCATTGTGTGGTTTTAATCCTTAATAAACTTTTTTTTGTATGTCGCTGGTAAAATTTATTAATAAAATTAGATTGATTTTTTTCTTTTCTCTTGTTCCTGCTCGGTTTAAAATATATAAAGGAAAATCTGAAAATCAAAACATGACCTATATAAAAAATCGTTAGTTTTTGAGATATTGACATTTTTATGAAGTTTTTCAAATGCCACAGCTACAAAATTCCATATTCTATTCTATGTTGTGCAACCCTGAATAGGCCTTTTATTAATTACAGTTTAAAATAATACGAATAGTATTTTTTTAACTTTTGAAAAGAAACAATTTTTGCCCGATTTTATACGTTTTTTTGTTAGATAACTTTGACTGTTTAGACTGTAAACAAAATATTCCACGTAAACTTGGCTAAATATTTAAAAAATTTGACAATTTTTGCCCGATTTTATACGTTTTTTTGTTAGATAACTTTGACTGTTTAGACTGTAAACAAAATATTCCACTTAAACTTGGCTAAATATTTAAAAAAATTGACAATTTAGTTTAGTTTTTAAAATGGTCTAACATTTGCCATGATTTACTTTAAAGAATAAGATATTGATGTTTGCAAAACTAACTCGTTGTGAAATTATTTCAATAATTAGAAATTCAAATAGAAATACTTATTTAATGAAAGATATTGATTTAGAACTAAACCAATCACAAATAAAAATCAACGGATGTGTTCAAATTGCGTCCTTTATTTTATTTATTGTTATTTGGGTTTAAAACCAAATTAATTAAACTATAATAATTAAGTAAAGTTAAGTTAGTGAAATTAAAGGTTAAGTGGAAAAGCAACTAATTAAATTAATAATAATAAATAATAAAATGATTATCGTGTGAACTTTTCTTTTTTTTAATACTTTTAAAGGAAGCAAGATATGAAAAAACAGAGAAAAATGTAGTAAATCAACCTTGGAATCTAATTTAACTATCAAGTTTTACAACAAGCGTGCTAGAAAATTGTTCTGGTTCGATAACTTTAATAACCTGTATCTCAAAGAGAAGGAAAAATTCAAACTTTTTTTCG